GGCCACGGACGATGGAGGGGAGGCCACGTGGCAGCCGGCTGTGGTGCTGTTACTGGACAGCCCGCTGCACCAGCTTCCGTGGGAGAGCTGCCCCGGGCTGGCGGGGCAGCAGATGTACAGGTCAGCCTGCTGGTGTTCCGGGTGCAGGCAGGTGGTCGCAGACACCTGTTGCTCATGTGTGGCTGTTTGTTTGGCTGCGCCAGCCGGTTAGCCAAGCCCCAAGATCGACACACGGCGGCGTCGCCCAATCCTTTGCTGCGCAGCCTGGCTTTGCTGTCCTGTGGCATTGGCGGCTGCAAGTCAATAGCAGGCGCAGGTCCTTGCATTTGACAGCACGCACACCCAAAGCAGAGTCCCCAAACACCGCCGACGCAACGCCCCCATCCCCCCCCATCTCACCGCACCCCTCCCCAGGTGCCCCAGCCTCGCCGTCGCCGCCGCGGCCGCCGCGCGCCACTGCGCGGGCCCGTGCGGCAGCAGCACCGCCGCGGTGCCGGCGGCGCCGGCGCTCGACCTGGCGTCAGCTTTCTATCTGCTCAACCCGGACGGCGACCTGCCTGCCACCCAGGACAGCTTCGAGGGCTGGCTGGCTGGGCAGCTGGGCATAGAGGTGGGCGGCTGGAGGGATTCGAGCATCTGAGAGGCGCTGGTTGTGGTTTTTTCCAGCCAAACCGGCAGCCTGGTTTCAGCAGGCCGTATGAACAACCCGCCGCGGCACCCGGCCGAGGCGCAATGCGGCTTTTCGCCCACTGGACGACCGGCCGCTCACGATAGCACCCCCTTGCCCGCCTGCACCCCTGCCCGACCCTCTCCACGCAGGGCACCGCCGGCCGCCGCCCGGACGCGCGCGCGCTCGCGCAGCGCCTCTCCTCGCGGGACGTCTTCCTGTACTTCGGCCACGGCGGTGCAGAGCAGTACGTCCCTCAGCAGCAGCTGCGCCGCCTGCGCCGCTGCGCGGGCAGCCTGCTCATGGGCTGCAGCAGCGGGCGGCTGCGGGGCGGCGACGGCGGCGACAGCGGCGGCGGCGGGGGCGGGTACGAGCCGTCGGGCGCGATCTGGGCATACCTACTCGCCGGCTGCCCGGCGGCGGTGGCAAATCTCTGGGACGTCACCGACAGGTGCGCGGGTGGCCACGAGTGATATTCAGGCGCTGACCCGGGCGGCTCCCAGGGTGGTGGTGGGGGGCGAGCGTTGGTGCCGCGCTCGGCCGACGGTCGTGCGGCAAACCCCGGGGCCATGCGGCGTGCAGGGTGGGGGCTGCGCCGCACCTTGCGCTCGATTCAAGGCAAGGCGCGCATGCCCGTCTTGCCGGTGGGCCAGCAGAGGTACGCTGCGCTGCCGCCTCCCCTGCTGACTGGTTGCGCCCCCTCGCTGCCCGCGACCTCCGCAGGGACATCGACCGCTTCGCCCGCGCAGTCCTGGAGGGCTGGGTCAGCGGCAGCCCTGCCTGCAGCGCCAGCAGCGGCGGCAGCAGCGGCGGCAGCAGCGGCGGCAGCGGCAGTGGCGGTGGCGACGGCACAAGCGCGGGCGGTCGCGGCAACGGAGGGAGCGGTCGGGCGCCCGGGGCGCCCGTGTTGGTCGGCGGCGCGGTGGCCGCGAGCAGGGGTGTGTGCCGGCTGCCAAGCCTGATTGGCGCGGCGCCAGTGATCTATGGCATCCCTTGTATGGTGCGGCCGCTGCCGGCAGGGGGCACGCCATGACAGGCGCAGGCGCCTGTAAATGTACACGACATGATGACAATGTCACAGCCTCAAAACGACCAGGCCGTTGTGTGGGAGAGTGTGTCTGTGCGCACGCGCACTTGTGTGCGAGTGCGCGCGCACACTCGTGCGCACACTCGTGCGAGCGAAAAGGGCCCAGGAGCGGGTGATTGGAATCAGCCTGACAGCCAACCCGACCCCCAAACGCCTTGCACACGGAGCGCTGCTGCTCAGGAGCAAGCCCGCCCCATTTTAAATTGCTGCAGCCAGCCATGGTCCATGCATTTGGACGAAGCCCTGCTCGCGGATCACACTCAACTCAACCTGCTACAGATTCAAAGTCACCTTCTAAGTGCATGGCTTGAAGAATACAAATGGCGTCCGTAGCACTGCTTGTGCGGTACGGAGCAACAGCAGGACTATGAGACTAGAGGCCCCTTGAAACGCATCAGGGCCTGTCAACGACCCAAGCTGCCAAGCAGACCCGCGGCTGCTTGCTTAACCCTTGGCCCACGCGGACGCTTCAGCAGTTGCGGCACGTGCCGCCATTTCGCCCATGTCAAACGCGCACAATCCCTCGCCAAGTGACTAATCGGGAGCAGTGGGAACCCAGGAAGTTCTGCTGCACGCATTTGTATCGCCCCGTTCAACCTCATGCATGCGGCAGGTGAGGTCATCCATCCCAAGCAGGCTCTGCGAAGCATTGTTGAAACTTTTGAAGATTGGGCGAGCAAGGCACCGCGTTCGGTGTGCGGCACTGGGAACCAAATCATGCTGGGGCAGCATCAACCCTTGGCTCCTTCGCCTCAACTGCGCAGGTGCGCCGCTCTGGGTCTTACCCTACCCTACGGGCTGCAGCAGGCCGGCCTGCGGCTGCGTGCCTTTGCACCAGTTTGGTGTGTGCAGATCCATGCGGCTGGCTTGGTGCCTCATTACACACATGCGGGTTATAAAAATTATCATGACAAGGTGGGTAGCTGCTCGGGTGAGCATATGGGGGGGGATGTGATTAGGCAGGCGCCCAAGCGTGCAGCACTTGGCCTAGATGATACGAAATGCGGCAGGCGGCGGCGACTTGACTTGAGCGAGGAGAGTTGTGCTGTGGCAGCAGAAAGCGTCCAAAGCTCATGGGCTGCTGCCGAGCCATGGTTGCCGCGCGGTCCTCAGGGCTGGCCCCATCTGCCTGGTCATTGCAGGCCCCCTCCATCTGCAGCCCCCCCGATCTGCCTGCAGATTGTGGTCATTTCCCTGTCTGCTCAACTGAAATTGAATCAGTGTCTCAATTTATAATAGACTGCCCCAAGTACGAATCAGTGCGTAGAGAGCTGTGGCGGCGACTGGAGGACGAGATAGCGCCTGAATGTTGGCATATGTTGCAGCAGATGCAGATTGAGGAGAAAGCTTACAAGTTGCTTGACTTTGATTTGCTTGGTGGCTCTGTGCTTGCTGATATCGTTGCCCAT